AAAAAGGAGGATGTGAAGTGTTTATTCAGTCTGGTGTTGTTTTGTAAAGTGTAGTGACCAATGGAAAATTATTTTAAAAATATTTTTTCAAATCAAATAATCCCTCCTGAAACAACACAATTTTTTCCAGAAAATTATGAAAGAAAATTGAATTCAGAAGAAAGCCGCTCATGTGAAGGCCCCATTAAAGAAGAAGAGCTCATGGAAGCTATTAAGTCCTTTCATCCAGGGAAAACACCAGGATTAGATGGAATACCTATTGAGATTTATCAAGTATTCTATGAAGAGGTTAAAAAATTGCTTTCCAGTTTTAATTACTCCTATACAACGGGTTCTTTGTCTAACTCTCAAACAGAAGGTCTTATTTCTTTGTTATTGAAACAAGAAGTAAATGGCCAATATAAAGACCCAGTTTATCTAAAAAATTGGAGACCAATAACACTTCAGTGTTATGATGCTAAGATCCTGGCTAAATGTTTGGCTACACGACTTAAGTCTGTTTTGCCAGATATTATTCATCAAGACCAATCAGGCTTCTTACAAGGAAGAAATATAGGAAACAATATTAGACAGTTATTAGAAATCATAGAAAATTATAATACAGAAAATAAAAGAGGATTAATTTTTGTAGCCGACTTAGAGAAGGCATTTCACAAAATTAGTCTAGATTTTATTTGTAAAAGCTTAGTTTTTTTCAATTTTGGTAACTCCTTATTACACTGGATCAAGACGCTATATAATAAAACAAACTGTAGAATTATCAATAATGGATACATCTCTGGGACAATACCTCTATTAAGAGGTTTAAAACAAGGGTGCCCTTTGTCTCCATACTTATTCATTATTGCTATGGAGATATTGGCGATTAAAGTCAGATTGAATAAAAATATTGAAGGGCTCGTTAATAATAATATTGAAAGTAAAATATCAATGTATGCAGACGATACAAGCTTCTTCATCACCCCCAATCCTCATTGTTTACAAAATCTTTTAAATCTGTTGGACATCTTTTCACAGCAATCTGGGCTTAAGCTTAACTATGATAAATGTAAAATATTAAGGATCGGAAGTTTAAAGGGAACATCCTACAGAATGGAATGCAAAGTACCTGTTGTGTGGACAAATGGACCAGTTAACATACTTGGTGTTGTTATCCCGGATGATCTGGAAAACCTAGGCTCAGTAAATTATGAAAATCGACTAAAAAAGCTGGATAAAATTCTGCAATTATGGAAAGGGAAATCTCTAACCGTGTATGGTAAAATATCTATTGTCAACTCTTTAATTATTCCTCAATTCATTTATTTAATTTTGTCATTACCAGCTCCATCACAAAACTTTTTTAAGGTTTATGAGCATAGGGTCATGGATTTTATCTGGGATGGCAAGCCAGAAAAGATTAAAAGAAAGGTTTTGTACAATGAATATGAATATGGGGGTATGAAACTTCTTAACCTTGAAGCTATGTGTCTGTCTTTGAAAGCATCAATTGTTCCAAAGATGTATCTAAACACTGAGTGGTACACAAGTGTCCTGTTGGACAAAAAACATGTATTGTATCATAAGAAATTGTATCCGTTTTTACAAGTGATGCCCTCCCATTTTCCTTATGTAGAAAGTCTGCTGGGAAACACCTCAGGGTTCATAAAGGAAACAATCCAGTCATGGTGGTGTTTTCAATTTTGTGTACCAGAAAAAGAGATGACATTTTGCAGCAGATAATATGGATGAATTCTAATATTGTAATAGATGGAAAGCCTTTCTTTTGGAAAAACATGTTTGAAAGAGGAATTACTTTTGTCAATGACATTATCAATGAGAATGGTAAGATCATGGAGTATGATGAATTTAGAATTATGTATGGTGATATTTGTTCAAGCTTTTCCTTTAATCAACTAACTGGAGTTATTGGAAAAAAATGGAAACAAATAATTAACTATGGAACTACTAAACTATTAGTTTGTAAACCTCCAATAAGAAATTCAAGTTGGCAAAAAGGAATAAAAATAAATAAAAAAATACATAATTTTTATTTAATAAAGAAATCTCTGAAGGTTGTCCCATATAACACATATGGAAAATGGGAAGACTATTTTGACTGCCCGTTGCCGTGGGATACAATATTTAAATTAATCTACAAAACTACTATCGATGTGCAGAATCGTTATTTTCAAATCAAAATCTTATATAATTTCTTACCCACCGGAAAAATGTTAAAATTATGGAATATGACTGAGTCAGATGATTGCCGTTTTTGTAGTCAGGAGTCTGAATCCACACTGCATTTGTTTTGGTACTGTCATATTGTGTCTTTGTTTTGGGTAGAAGTTGAAAAAATGTGTTTAAGGATCGGTTTGTTTATGAAGCTTGATGTGATTTCTGTCATATTAGGAGATTTTATTGACAGTCACGATTTAGTTAATTTAATTATTGTACTCGGTAAAAGATTTATTTTTAAGGCAAAAAATAGATATTCACTTAGTATTACTTTCTTTAAAACATTTATTCAGCATTTCTGTACATTAGAAAGTTATATGGTTGAAACCGTAAATGACGCCAAAAAACATAAGCGTAGATGGGAAGTTCTCAAAGGCCTTTTTTGAAAATGTATTTTTGATTATAGATTATATGCTAAACTGTGTCTGTGTTTCCTTAATCTGGATGTATGCAAATGAAGGTGTGTGTTGCTGAGCCCGATCTCGACATAATCTGGACTGGACCCGGTTTTAAGAGCCCTTTAAACCATCTACTCTCGCTGAAGCCTGGTCTGGTGAAGATAGTGTAATTTTTTTATTATTATTATTATTATTATTATTTTTTATTTTTTTTTGTTAATTAACTTATTATTGTTAAAAAATAATAATAATTATTATTATACATTTTATTTATTTTTTATTTTTTCTTCTATTTTATTCTTTAATACAATAATTTTTGAATTTAAGCAAAATGTAACTGGTAAATGTTACCACTAAAAGTGGACCAGCAGCACACACAACCCTATTGCGGTGGATGTGGTTTCCGAAAGGCACTGGTTTAGGGCAGTGCCTCACGGACTTCATCCCGTGCAGACTGCATTGATATATATTGTAGGAACCAGAATGTTAATATGGTAAGGAAACAACCCGTTTGTGTGAATGAGTGTGAATGGGGGTGAGGGTGGGAGGGTTTTGGAATGGAGCACTAATTGTAAGTGTATCTTGTGTTTTTATGTTGATTTAATAAAAAAAAAAAAAAAGTGTAGTGACCATTATGGAAGCTAATGGGGTCCAAATAATTAAATAAATACTTATATCTGTATCATATCTTATCTACAACACCATGTCACTGCCACAGAGTTCACGACTGCTTTTAAAAGTCACTAATTAATCCACATTGAAGCGATGACTTAATGATTGATGAAGTTATGGAGATGAAAACCTGCTGCGCTGAATCAAAGTCTCGTTCCACTTCCTGCTTCGATAAACACACAACTTTAACCCTTTGATACTTTCCTCATTTGGTCACTGCAGAAAGTGATGAAAAACAATTACTAAAAAAAATGTGTGCGAAAAGTGTCTTAATACGAGCACATTCTGACTGAGACTTAACACAAGATTCTTCAGTTCTTGGAATAAAACTAAATGTCTTTGTCCCGTTGGAGGATCTAGTTTTACCACAGTCAGAATGTGTCAGATTAAGATTAAAAACACTTGATTCATGCATTTATTACCTTATATTTGATCGTTTTTCTCATTGGAGAATCTCTCACTTGGTATTAGGCATTTTTACTTGGTATAACGGTATCTCAAACATTTGCTAAAGGCCTATGATTACAAAAACTAGGGGTAAAAACACATTATCAGTGCTATTAGTGTCCTACGTCTTAGAAAATCCACCAAAAACAAACCTTGCTCTCTTGGAGGAGGTTAAAGTCCTCTTGGTGCAGCTGGTCCTGGACAGACCTGGGTAAAGCAGGTTGGATGTAAACGCCGTGGACAGGGTTAGTCTTCTGTAAAACGTCACCGTGACTGAAGTTGACAGAATGTGAGAAGAACAGTCCACAGAGACAGGAGCAGAACAAGAGAGGCCATGTTTTATACAGAGACTTAAAACTGTCTGATGTTGAAGCACAAAACAAAATCACAAAACCGTGTCAATGCAGAGAGAAGCTACACTGCAAAAGGTGATGACAAAAAATTGGAAATAAAATTATCTTAAAGGAGAAGTATGTAAACATGTGGCCAAAAGTGGTACTGCAGCCTCTCCCACTCTCCCTGACTCAGGTTGCCAGATATGCAGACGAATCCAGCTGGGACCATAACAGCTGAATAGACAAGAGTTTTGTCAACAACAAATCTATAACCAACACCTTTTTCACAAAGATAGAAATCCTGGTTTTATTCCTTGTTTTGTCGTTAATGATTTGAGAATCATAACGAGACCTTTTTTAGTTCTGCGCCACATGGTACTTTACCAGTGAGATTAGCTCCACGCGGTGAGTTCTGGCGCCCGGATCACAGACTTTCTGATTGGTGAAACGGTGGAGGGCGGGACATCGGAATGAAAACAATAACAAGATTTAGGGACTGTAAAAGTAATTTAGAAATTCAAATATCTCTGAACTACTGTTCTCAGTTAAAGAAGGATTGGAAAAGAGCAGTTTATTATTATTATTTTGGCGGGACGGTGGCTGAGTGGTTAGCACGTATCACCTGAATGATTGACAGTTGGGAGGACCAATAGTCTTGATGATCAACCCGGAAATAGAAAATATATACCTTTAATTTGAGCACATTTTGACTGCCCCTAAAACAAGATTTGCCAAAAAGCCTCAAAATAATGTACAATCCTTTTAGACGCAGTCAATGATTAAAGGGGTGCTACTCGGATGCTACGGCTAAAAGTTAACCTGAATCCTTTACATCACCTTTAATTTACATTTCCAGAACATATCTTGCAATCCTAGCCATATTGTTATTATTTTTACTGAACTATTATTTTGTGTCTGTCTCTCCCCCCAGTGCCGTGCCCCGTGACCCCCGTGACCGTCCGGATCATGAACCAGGAGCCGGTCCACGTCATCCCGGGCTCCAACCTCCTCCTCCGCGCCCACATCCAGTCCGGGTCCGGGTCCAGGGACCAGCTCTCGACGGTCACGTGGGAGCGAGAGGCCGAGACCGGACCCTCGCCCACCAGGGTCAAACTGGCCTCATGCCCGGGCAGCAGCGGCGGCCCCTGCGCTGGGACCAGGCCCAACATAGTGGCCAGCAGGGGGCAGCAGGACTCCACGCTCCAGGTGACTGCGTACACACCCGAGGACGGAGGAGACTACATCGTGACGGTCACGGATCAGAACGGAAACACAACCAGCGCACGGTGTGTCGTCCGAGAGTATGGTGAGTGTGTGTGAGGCAATACACAACAAAATACTCATTAAAACTGAGGTAAGGCAAGTCTGGGGTTACCATGTGTAAACTGTGGTCTTACCATGTGTAAACTCTGGTCCATGATCATTTCCTACATGTACGTCTGGTCTTACCATGTGTAAACTCTGGTCCATGGTCATCTCCTACATGTACGTCTGGTCTTACCATGTGTAAACTCTGGTCCATGGTCATCTCCTAGATGTACGTCTGGTCTTACCATGTGTAAACTCTGGTCCATGATCATTTCCTACATGTACGTCTGGTCTTACCATGTGTAAACTCTGGTCCATGATCATCTCCTACATGTACGTCTGGTCTTACCATGTGTAAACTCTGGTCCATGATCATCTCCTACATGTACGTCTGGTCTTACCATGTGTAAACTCTGGTCCATGGTCATCTCCTACATGTACGTCTGGTCTTACCATGTGTAAACTCTGGTCCATGGTCATCTCCTAGATGTACGTCTGGTCTTACCATGTGTAAACTCTGGTCCATGGTCATCTCCTAGATGTACGTCTGGTCTTACCATGTGTAAACTCTGGTCCATGATCATCTCCTACATGTACGTCTGGTCTTACCATGTGTAAACTCTGGTCCATGATCATCTCCTACATGTACGTCTGGTCTTACCATGTGTAAACTCTGGTCCATGATCATCTCCTACATGTACGTCTGGTCTTACCATGTGTAAACTCTGGTCCATGATCATCTCCTACATGTACGTCTGGTCTTACCATGTGTAAACTCTGGTCCATGATCATCTCCTACATGTACGTCTGGTCTTACCATGTGTAAACTCTGGTCCATGGTCATCTCCTACATGTACGTCTGGTCTTACCATGTGTAAACTCTGGTCTTACCATGTGTAAACTCTGGTCCATGGAGAATGTGATAGTAAAATAATCTGTTCTGGTTCAATCCAAATATCAAGAAACTGAAGCCGGAGCAAGAGGAATGTTTAGTAAATGTCATTGAGGCAAAGATGTTGTGGCGCTACTCCCCACGGGCTCCGTTAGTGGCAAAGGAGATGCTAAAGGTAGGCTACATGCTAAAGCTAGGCTACATGCTAAAGCTAGGCTACATGCTAAAGCTAGGCTACATGCTAAATGCCTCACTCCCTTGAGCTCATTGCAAACGTCACAGTAAGCCCCTCCCACCTGTTCATCTTTTCCTTTTGACCAGTCGAAGTCTAAAGGCATAAACTCGATATTAAAGATGTTCTCTGTCAGGTTCTCTGTAGGTTCTCTGTCAGGTTCTCTGTAGGTTCTCTGTAGGTTCTCTGTCAGGTTCTCTGTAGGTTCTCTGTAGGTTCTCTGTCAGGTTCTCTGTCGTAGGTTCTCTGTCAGGTTCTCTGTCAGGTTCTCTGTCAGGTTCTCTGTCAGGTTCTCTGTAGGTTCTCTGTAGGTTCTCTGTCAGGTTCTCTGTCAGGTTCTCTGTCAGGTTCTCTGTCAGGTTCTCTGTCAGGTTCTCTGTCAGGTTCTCTGTCAGGTTCTCTGTCAGCTGAGGTCGAGCTGTTACATTGAGTTCTATGGGACTTTCTTCTGGATAGCCCTCGTGAGTTCAGTCTGCAGTACCACAGCGCCCCCTGTGGCCATGGGAGGGACAGCTAAAGCTAGTAATACTCTGTCCAGTTATTATTATAGATCCATGGACTGAGCTCAGACTAGACTCCAGTTTGACACATTTAGTCTGGGTTCAAGAAGGTTCTGGGTTCAATTCCACCTCCAGGCCTTTCTGTGATCTATCTGTGTGTGCTCCGGTTTCCTCCAGGTGCTCCGGTATACTCTACCACTAAAACCATGTACAGTAGGTCTGACAGCGCCCCCTGTTGGAGTCAGAGACAAACGTGACTCTGGTCTGTGAAAGGCGCTATATGAATAAACATAACTTACTTATTTCCACATTTCTGTCTTTCTAACCCAAGATGATTCAGTTTGTCGCGTCTCGTTTGAGTCGGTTCAAAGATTTCAAACTAAGATGAACATTTTGCCAAATTTGATCCATTTTGATCTCATTCATCCTTTCTAGATCCAACGATGAGAAACTACAGACGTGAAGCAATAGTTTGGGCGCCCTGGACGAGACGAGGAGGAAGAAGCTGAGAGGCTGTCGTGTAAATACAGAAGACTTTTTTTCAGTGGCAGCTTTTTGGAATTTTCTTTTTGATTTGTTTTAAGGATTTTGGAGGAAATTATGAAGTTTGTTCGTCTCGACACAAAGTGAATTTATCAACGACAACAAAAGGATTTTACCACAAAAACAATCATTTTTCTGTAAATAAGTTCAAAACAGTGTTTTCTCAAAGCAACACGAGCTGTGCTCCTCAGAGTCCCAGCAGGAGGCCAGTCCCTGTGCTCCTCAGAGTCCCAGCAGGAGTCCAGTCCCTGTGCTCCTCAGAGTCCCAGCAGGAGGCCAGTCCCTGTGCTCCTCAGAGTCCCAGCAGGAGTCCAGTCCCTGTGCTCCTCAGAGTCCCAGCAGGAGTCCAGTCCCTGTGCTCCTCAGAGTCCCAGCAGGAGTCCAGTCCCTGTGCTCCTCAGAGTCCCAGCAGGAGGCCAGTCCCTGTGCTCCTCAGAGTCCCAGCAGGAGGCCAGTCCCTGTGCTCCTCAGAGTCCCAGCAGGAGGCCAGTCCCTGTGCTCCTCAGAGTCCCAGCAGGAGTCCAGTCCCTGTGCTCCTCAGAGTCCCAGCAGGAGGCCAGTCCCTGTGCTCCTCAGAATCCCAGCAGGAGGCCAGTCCCTGTGCTCCTCAGAGTCCCAGCAGGAGGCCAGTCCCTGTGCTCCTCAGAGTCCCAGCAGGAGGCCAGTCCCTGTGCTCCTCAGAGTCCCAGCAGGAGGCCAGTCCCTGTGCTCTAACATGTCACAGATGTAGTTTGGTGTGGACCATGGAGAGACCGAGACCAGGACTGATGTGATGGTACTTCCTGGTTCTAGTCCGGACTCCAGCTGATCCTGATCTTTACTGAAGAATAATCAGTGACAGAAACTGACACTTGTTTAGTCAAAGTGGATGAAGCTCTGTACCTGAGCTCTGTACCTGAGCTCTGTACCTGAGCTCTGTACCTGAGCTCTGTACCTGAGCTCTGTACCTGAGCTCTGTACCTGAGCTTCATCAGGTCTGAGTGAGAAGAACACAAAGGTCCGTGAGGAGCAGGAGTGACTCATGTCTCATTATGTTCACTTTTCAAAAGTCTGAGATTTTTGTAAATAAATAAAAAGTTTCTGCATCACTTCCTCTTTTCTGTCATGGTTTAAGTTTCTCCAACTACTGTTTTTACTCTGACAGAGAGAGACCAGAGAGAGAGACCAGAGAGAGACCAGAGAGAGAGACCAGAGAGAGACCAGAGAGAGACCAGAGAGAGAGACCAGAGAGAGACCAGAGAGAGAGACCAGAGAGACCAGAGAGAGAGACCAGAGAGAGAGACCAGAGAGAGAGACCAGAGAGAGACCAGAGAGAGACCAGAGAGAGACCAGAGAGAGACCAGAGAGAGACCAGAGAGAGACCAGAGAAAGACCAGAGAGAGAGAGACCAAAGAGAGAGCAGAGAGAGAGACCAGAGAGAGAGAGAGCAGAGAGAGAGACCAGAGAGAGAGACCAGAGAGAGACCAGAGAGAGACCAGAGAGAGAGACCAGAGAGAGACCAGAGAAAGACCAGAGAGAGAGAGACCAAAGAGAGAGCAGACAGAGGGACCAGAGAGAGAGACCAGAGAGAGAGACCAGAGAGAGACCAGAGAGAGAGACCAGAGAGAGACCAGAGAGAGAGAGACCAGAGAGAGACCAGAGAGAGAGACCAGAGAGAGAGACCAGAGAGAGAGAGACCAGAGAGAGAGACCAGAGAGAGAGAGAGAGAGACCAGAGAGAGACCAGAGAGAGACCAGAGAGAGAATCCATGGTAACAACACTGTCCAGGTCCTTGCACTAGACCCAGTCCATGTGAAAGTCTCTGAATGTTTTTATGTTAAACTCAGAATATATGAATAAGTAAAAGTGGTTAGAGCAGAATCTGGGCCGAGGCGCTGGTTTTCTCCACTCACCCTCACGCTCTGGCAACGAGAACCACTTTGAAGGCGTGTGATTGGCTGTGGCCCGGTCCCTGTCAGGATCCAGTTGGAGGTGACACTGCTTTAACGACGTTAGACATTATATACTTATATATTTATATATTTATATATTTATATATTTATATATTTATATATTTATATATTTATAGATACAGCTGCACATGTTTATGAGGAGACTCTAACAAACTCTCTCGGGATCGTTAAACTTTACCGCTTCCAAAAGTGTCATACTCTTCGCCTCATAAAGCAGATGGTACCAGGTGAGGGAGGAGAGAGACCAGCGTGGTCCTGGTCCATGGTCTCACGCACATGGTCTGACCTGGTTTGACGCGGGATAAGAAAGATAGATTTGAAAGGTCCTTAAAGGTGAATGTGGAGAGTCCTGGACCTTCGCTGTGGGTCAAGTGTCTGGCCCAGCGACACAACAACACCATCAGCTCCTAACACCTCTTCTTTCAACACAAACACACACATGGTGCATTCTGTAGTTCAACACAAACACACACATGGTGCATTCTGTAGTTCAGGCCAAACACACACATGGTGCATTCTGTAGTTCAACACAAACACACACATGGTGCATTCTGTAGTTCAACACAAACACACACATGGTGCATTCTGTAGTTCAGGCCAAAGCAGAACTCAAGAAAAAGCAAAACAGAAAAACACTGACACTTTGCATTAGATTCTGACTTTTATAATCTACGAAGATTCAGTATGTGACATAAAATGGCTGAAGTTTGGAAAAAAGTCTGAGCATGTCTCAGAGATTTATCTTCCAACAGGACAATGATCCAAAACATAAAGTCAAATCTACAATGGAATGGTTCACAAATAGACGTATCCAGGTGTTAGAATGGCCAAGTCAAAGTCCAGACCTGAATCCAATCCAGAATCTGTGGAAAGAGCTGAAGACTGCTGTTCACAAACGCTCTCCATCCAACCTCACTGAGCTCCAGCTGTTTTGCAAGGAAGAATGGGCAAGAATTCCAGTCTCTCGATGTGCAAAACTGATAGAGACATACCCCAAGCGACTTGCAGCTGTAATTGCAGCAAAAGGTGGCGCTACAAAGTATTAGCGCAAGGGGGCCGAATAATATTGCACGCCCCACTTTTCAGTTTTTTATTTGTTAAAAAAGTTTAAATTATCCAATAAATTTCGTTCCACTTCACGATTGTGTCCCACTTGTTGTTGATTCTTGACAATTTTTTAAATATTTTTATGTTTGAAGCCTGAAATGTTGAAAGGTTCAAGGGGGTTGAATACTTTCGCAAGGCACTGTAAGTATGTCTGTACCTGTCTGCTGCACCCTGGGGACGTTTGCACAAGTATTCCAATGTGGTTTTACTGCAAATAACCAAATGTGTTTACTTTTACATGTAGGTCAGTAAGAGCCAGAGCGAGCTGGAACAAAACCTCGTCCGTGGGCACTTCCCAAGCCCCGGCGATCCAAGATGGCGCCCTATTCAAATGAATGGTTGTGCTCAGTGGCGCTTTGTGACGGCATGGGGGCTGAAAGATTAGCGGAAGTCGCCTGAAACTCTCAAAGATCTATGGGAAACTCTCAAAGATCTATGGAAACTCTCAAAGATCTATGAGAAACTCTCAAAGATCTATGGGAAACTCTCAAAGATCTATGGAAACTCTCAAAGATCTATGGGAAACTCTCAAAGATCTATGAGAAACTCTCAAAGATCTATGAGAAACTCTCAAAGATCTATGAGAAACTCTCAAAGATCTATGAGAAACTCTCAAAGATCTGTGGGAAACTCTCAAAGATCTATGAGAAACTCTCAAAGATCTATGAAACTCTCAAAGATCTATAGGAAACTCTCAAAGATCTATGAGAAACTCTCAAAGATCTATGGGAAACTCTCAAAGATCTATGAGAAACTCTCAAAGATCTATGAGAAACTCTCAAAGATCTATGAGAAACTCTCAAAGATCTATGGGAAACTCTCAAAGATCTATGGGAAACTCTCAAAGATCTATGAGAAACTCTCAAAGATCTATGGGAAACTCTCAAAGATCTATGAAACTCTCAAAGATCTATGAAACTCTCAAAGATCTATGGGAAACTCTCAAAGATCTATGAGAAACTCTCAAAGATCTATGGGAAACTCTCAAAGATCTATGGGAAACTCTCAAAGATCTATGGGAAACTCTCAAAGATCTATAGGAAACTCTCAAAGATCTATGGGAAACTCTCAAAGATCTATGGGAAACTCTTAAAGATCTATGGGAAACTCTCAAAGATCTATGAGAAACTCTCAAAGATCTATGAGAAACTCTCAAAGATCTATGGGAAACTCTCAAAGATCTATGGGAAACTCTCAAAGATCTATGGGAAACTCTCAAAGATCTATGGGAAACTCTCAAAGATCTATGGGAAACTCTCAAAGGTCTATGGGAAACTCTCAAAGATCTATGGGAAACTCTCAAAGATCTATGGGAAACTCTCAAAGATCTATGGGAAACTCTCAAAGATCTATGGAAACTCTCAAAGATCTATGGGAAACTCTCAAAGATCTATGAGAAACTCTCAAAGATCTATGAGAAACTCTCAAAGATCTATGGGAAACTCTCAAAGATCTATGGGAAACTCTCAAAGATCTATAGGAAACTCTCAAAGATCTATGGGAAACTCTCAAAGATCTATGGGAAACTCTCAAAGATCTATGGAAACTCTCAAAGATCTATGGGAAACTCTCAAAGATCTTTGGGAAACTCTCCTGTATTTGGGCATCGTCTGGTCCTCCCGGTTCTGTGCAGTGGATGATCTCCCATAATGCATTGCACCAAACACGCGTGTGTGGGTCTCACACCGGGTCTCACGCACGTGCACAGAGGGTCTCACGCACGTGCACAGAGGGTCTCACGCACGTGCACAGAGGGTCTCACGCACGTGCACAGAGGGTCTCAGGCACGTGCACAGAGGGTCTCACGCACGTGCACAGAGGGTCTCACGCACGTGCACAGAGGGTCTCAGGCACGTGCACAGAGGGTCTCACGCACGTGCACAGAGGGTCTCACGCACGTGCACAGAGGGTCTCACGCACGTGCACAGAGGGTCTCACGCACGTGCACAGAGGGTCTCACGCACGTGCACAGAGGGTCTCACGCACGTGCACAGAGGGGCTCGGCTCTGACCAATCAGAGCAGTTCATCAGAGCGGGAGTTAGAGCCAGAGCCAGACGAGCAGAGTTTGTGGCACTAAAGTGTGGATTTAAACAAAACCCAAGGATTTAAGAAGAAAAAAAGTTCAGAACGACAAGAGACACTAACATCCCCACAAAATCTGATCTTTATGAAAGCTGCAGGTTCTCTGTCAGGTTCTCTGTAGGTTCTCTGTCAGGTTCTCTGTCAGGTTCTCTGTAGGTTCTCAGTCAGGTTCTCTGTCAGGTTCTCTGTAGGTTCTCTGTCGGGTTCTCTGTAGGTTCTCTGTAGGTTCTCTGTCAGGTTCTCTGTCAGGTTCTCTGTAGGTTCTCTGTAGGTTTTCTGTCAGGTTCTCTGTCAGGTTCTCTGTAGGTTCTCAGTCAGGTTCTCTGTCAGGTTCTCTGTCAATAAAAATGATTCTGATTCTGATTCTGATTCTGATTCTGAGGTTCTCTGTCAGGTTCTCTGTCAGGTTCTCTGTCAGGTTCTCTGTCAGGTTCTCTGTCAGGTTCTCTGTAGGTTCTCTGTCAGGTTCTCTGTCAGGTTCTCTGTCAGGTTCTCTGTCAGGTTCTCTGTCAGGTTCTCTGTCAGGTTCTCTGTAGGTTCTCTGTCAGGTTCTCTGTCAGGTTCTCTGTCAGGTTCTCTGTCAGGTTCTCAGTCAGGTTCTCAGTCAGGTTCTCTGTCAGGTTCTCTGTCAGGTTCTCTGTCAGGTTCTCTGTCAGGTTCTCTGTAGGTTCTCTGTCAGGTTCTCTGTAGGTTCTCTGTCAGGTTCTCAGTCAGGTTCTCTGTCAGGTTCTCTGTAGGTTCTCTGTCAGGTTCTCTGTAGGTTCTCTGTCAGGTTCTCTGTCAGGTTCTCTGTAGGTTCTCAGTCAGGTTCTCTGTCAGGTTCTCTGTAGGTTCTCTGTCGGGTTCTCTGTAGGTTCTCTGTAGGTTCTCTGTCAG